GGAATTATTTAAATGACACCTTTCCACACAGGTGGATCGGAAGAAGAGGTTTCATAGAATGGCCAGCAAGATCACCAGATCTAATTCCTCCTGACTTTTTCACTTGGTACCTACAGGATGTTCCCTGGACCTAAATTTTTTCAAAAACAAAGTCGCATTGAGTTTTTAAAAATGAAATTAGGTTTTATTAGACGTCCTAGTATAACTACACGGTTGGATTAGCGAGTGGCGGTTCACAAAGCAACTCGAATGACCCGCATGACGCGCGTTTCATTAAACAAAAAATAATAAAGCTGCCGCCGTGATCATAGTTTAGTTGCAACGCATTGCATTGCAGTCATAGAACAGCAGTTCGGTTCTGCCATGACGACGTCGACGATATGTGCGAACTCGGACCTGGTTCATTCACCTCGTTCGCATCCAATGTTGATGTTACGGAACGTTCGACGTTGCCAAACATATGTACCCACTTCCTTTTAAATAAACATTTATTTACTCGTATTATTGTCCGCGCTTAAGTGCCTTTGCATTTTTTTGCGCTTTTTAGTTTAAGTGAGCCATTTTTTTAGAATGTCGAAAACAAGTTCTATAAATAGTTACCAAAAGCCAAATCATTAGATGACTCTGTATACAATTATCAATATCTCAGTCGGTACACGGAGAGAAATGTATAATAAATTTTAGTATCTACAAATAGTAATATTTACTATATGATTTAATCAAATGTAAGGTGTACATCCAATATTATAATATATTACACATTAATAAAAAATATAGTAAACATAAAGATACTTTTATGTTTAAGGTAAATAAACAATATATTCAAATATAATATACAATATAGTAACTCATGACATTTTAAACATTCAATTTTCTTAGTTTCTTCAATAAACTTTCTTGACCCATTACTGGTAATACTTGTAAGAAAGAATTGAACCTACTTGGTGGCATAGTATGTACCGATTGCGGCAAGGCCACGTCGCGACGCGTCGTTAGACGGTGTGGATCACGTGATGTTCTTACATCTCGCCTCTGTTGGCTTACCAACCATGTTATATAAGCTCAGGTATTTCTTTGTTTTGGGTGTGTTGCACTACTACAAGTTGCTCGACAGTGTCGTGTCGACACTGATGATACCCAATATAGGTCAAAACACCTGTCTGTCGGTATTTGAAGTTGATGGAACGCACTCAAAACAAAAAACTTTGGCGAGGTGTAGGTTCAATTCTTTCTCATAACATTTTTGTATATTAAAAAGTACAATAAATATGTTACAATTTTTAATTGTTAGCATATAAAAATATTCGATTTTAAAATATTTTATATTTAAAATGGCAACATAATATTTTAAAATTTACTATACTTATTAGTAATGGAAAAAATCTAATTATAATAGGAATTAAAAACAAAATTGGTTGAGAATAATAATATTTTACCTTAAAGTTTAACATACATGAATATTTAAAAATTACTAAATATGCATAGTATCTATAATAATATAAATTATAGTAAAGGGTATTAATTATGGTAATCAGTATTATACTTTTCTTTCCGTGTAATAATATAGAACTACCTACTTTATTTTGGGTCCAATATAGGACAAGAGCAGGGCTGTCTTTAAATTACAATGAAAAATATTTCTAAAAAGTGTACACATTTACCAGCCAATTCTTCTGTAAAATTGTCCCCTGAATCTGAAAAGACCGTCAAAAATTATAAAAGTTAGGCAATTTTTTATGATATAGTCAATTCCATATTATAAGTAAAATTGATTATATTTCAAAAACTGTTCTATTTTATAACTTTTGACTACATTTTCGCATTCAGTGAATAATATTTCATAGGAATTGACTGCTAAATGTCCTGGATACAAATTGCTGTTGACGAGAATTATTAGTGGCTGCTTTTTCGCTATGTCATTTTTGACTAATTCATTTTTAGAGAGTAAGTAATATGGTAAATTAAAAATTAATTGTACTTCTCCATAAAACTACACATAAAATAAAGTGCTTTTCTTGTAAAATAATACTAAATATGAAAATTATTATATTATCCCAAAACAAAAATACAAAAGTATTAAATAGTTTCTTGACGCCAATATTTGGAAAGATTACGTGAACGTTTGAACCTTTTGATTTCGCCGTAGTAGTGCAGTTAACTAGATTTAACTGATAAAATTTTGTATTGAGTGAAAATATAAATTTATCGTAAGTAATATCATAAGGGCATTTAATTTTTCCGAAAAGAATCGAAAAAACACGTTGCTAAGTAATATTTTAACAAATAGCATGAGTGCTGGTGGCAACAAAAATCCGAGTCGAAGAGGAGGATTTTTGCACCTGCACGAATGCATTTTGTTAAAAAATATTACTTAGCATTGTGTTTTTTCGATTTTTTTCACAGGAAAAATTAGATGCCCGAATGGTATTTGACAAGACTATTTCATGAGTAACAGTTAACAATTAAAATATAAATTGCAATTTTTGGTGACAACAGCTGTCAAGTTTTGCCGCGGGTAAACTCGAATAAACTGCTGACAGGTGCTGTCACACAGTTTTTTCACCTAGAAACCATTTGTAATTCAAAATTGCGCGTTTGTGATTGGTGGATATTAAGACGAGGGAAATAGTCGTTAAAAATCCCTTGAGGTAAAATAACCCAAGTTATTTTCTTTGGTAAAAATGACATTACATGAACCTTAATATATACACTAGGGTGTCCCTTATTTTTTATTTTTTCACGCATACCCTCTAATTATATTTATTACGTGTTTATATACTTCCATTAAAAATTTCAGCTCATTCTATAAACGGGAACCCGTGCCGACTTGCATCTGAACCCTCCGTTAGACAACGTTAGGCGCGCGGTATTTTGTAACAGGGTTGGTCGCGAGGTTCGATCGTAAGTCATTTTTTGTTTGTTATTATGTGACACTTATATTATAAATTATTGTCAAATGTTAAAATATAGTTTTATTTATGTGTATACTTTGATAAAAATGTATATTTTCACAGGGAGTGGCTAGTTACCCGGAAGGGTCTGGTGAATAGGCCGTAAACTCTGAAATTGATAAACTTAATGTGTTTTACTCTAAATACCTAAAAGAGTCTATTTTGAGAGATGACTACCGAAAACTTATTGAACTGTCTGAAATATTTTTGGGAGGACATCAAGAAAATAAATGCTTATAAAAAGCTGAAATTTCATTTAACAGTGTATTTTAGCAATACTAATTAGTATATTAATATATTTAAGGGATAAAATCAACTAAATTAGTGAAACAAATGATAAAAACAAAAGCAATAATATTAATTGAACGGCTTTCTGCAGAATGGGACCAACCCACACCATGATGAAACTGAGAAAAAAACTATCAAAGATTTTAATAATTTTAAAATTACCTGTTAATTTTATGCCGATTTTGGACTTACGGAGGTTTAAGGGATATAATATAATGTGTAAGGGTGACGAAAAAAAATGGTCTTTTGTTGGTTGGTTCCTTTCTGCAATTTATGAAAACTACTATCTGATGTATGTATGTATTTAAAGAAAAGCGACAATTATTTATTTCCAAACAAAATACAACTGATATTACTATTATAATGGTAATATGAATTAATTTTGATTCTATTTGAAATTCGTCCACATCATCTTCCAACCCCACCTCATCTTGTAAGCTACCAAAAAAATGCATCAAGACTTTATATTTTGCAGAAGCATGAAATCTTTAAAGACTTTGGTAGTGGGTCTACCAGCCTGCTTTTTTATAAAAAAGATCCAACCCAATTGCAGATATTCTACAGATTCTAATTCTGGATTAGTAATCCACACTATTATTGAATGTTGGTTGGTTCAATGATTAATAGATTTAACTACACTTGCATTTTGGCTATGACCTATTTTGCAGATAAATTATACATACTTAATTAGTTCATAGGTTAAATATCTTGATTTTTTTGGTTTTGTGGGTTGGTTCCTTTCTGCAGAAAGGCGTCCAATTAGTAATCATATTTCATAAAATCATTAGAAAAATACAGTCATGAAGTATATCTTCTTTTTAAAGTGTTTTTTTTACAATTAGGATATAGATTTCTGTGCTGTTGCACGCAACGCAGAAGGAATTGTTTCTGCTCTTCATCGGCGGTTAACAAACCGTGAAAGTCCTGCATTAGCTTAGCTCAATAAGTTTTCGGTAGTCATCTCTCACAATAGACTCTTTTAGTTATTTAGAGTAAAACCCATTAAGTTTATCAATTTTAGAGTTTACGGCCTATTCACCCGACACTTCCGGATAACTAGCCACTTCCTGTAAAAATATTCATTTTTATTAAAGTATACACATAAATAAAACTATATTTTAACATTTGTCAATAATTTATAATATAAGGGTAACATAATAACAAACACAAAATGACTTACGATCGAAGACCTCGCGACCAACCGTGTTACAAAATACCGCGCGCCTAACGTTGGCTAACGGAGGGTTCAGATGCAAGTCGGCACGGGTTCCCGTTTATAGAATGATCTGAAATTTTTACTGTGAGTATATAAACAAGTAATAAATATAATTAGAGGGTATGCATGAAAAAAATAAAAATAAGGGACACCCTAATATACACAACATTACGCTTTTAATTTTAAATTTTGATATTTTTTTAAATTTTTACCATTTTTCCCACAATTTTTTAAATTTGAACTACTGTGCGAATTTGTCCCACCATTTTTAAATTCACCCCACGGGAGTTTGTCCCACTTACAGGTAACTGTAATTTGTACTTTGTCTCGTGTCGGTCAGTCGGTTTTCCTACATGCTAAATCCCCATCCCGAAGCATAGCTTAAAAATTGGTTTCATGTCCGAAAACGATCTCTACGAACAGCACTGTATATAAGAACTGCATTAAAAAGCTTTGATGTCGAAGTGTCATAGTATTCCATTTACCTGAAACAAGCAGAAACAAATTTTGAATATTTATAACAGTTCCATTATTTTTTATTTCAGTGCCGATAAAATCAACAACAGTCAAAATTAGAAACAACATTTTTACCCGGATGGAAAATATGGAAGGTCCTTTAAGCCTGCTTAAAAAATGTATGGACGAACGTATTAAAACCAAGGTAAATATTGTACTATTTTTATATATATTTTTTTAAATTAATTTGGGTGTATACTATTTAAGCTACTACACGTTTTAACATAAAAAAAATATTAATTAATGCTATCGTGAAGTAGTAGGATTAATATTTAATTAATAAAATCCTTCTATTTTTATCTAGACTTTTTTTTGTATTTTATAAAAGCAACAATTTTTTTTAGAAACAAGGAAGTTATCTTATCCGGAACTAATTTTAATATCCGGAATCCTAATATGAAAAATATTTACGCCAAAACAACTTTACGTAATTTATTTTCATTCTCAATGAGTAAGAACCAAAATGTTTTTTGCGTGTATATTATATAAATTTGTTGTTTTTTATTATGTCTATATAATCTCAGTAACTAGTTTGCCTGAGGGTTTTCTACGAAAAATATTGATTATAATCTACTATTTTTTTACTTTCTCCTTCCAAAAGCCCATTATCGTACATATTTCCATGACACAGTTATATTTCAAATACACATTGCAAGCTGTGACTTTATAGCGTTTTAGTCACGGGCTGAAGTTAGAAACAGGTTTTTAGACACGGGCTCAAGTTAGTTGACAGTTGTCAAATGTCAAACAACTGGAAGTATGAGTAGGCAGGAAAAATCGGGTAGAAAATCAATCTCAGAAGACAAACAATTAAAATTAGCCTAAATGACACTGTAAATCGGTAAAATGTACGTTACTGGTCACATGTTAATCCATATGTTTATCTTGAAGCTCCTACGCAGTACCCACAAAAAGTCAATCTATGGGAAGAACTACTGGGAAACCATATTGTTGGACTCATCTTTTTGAAAGGAAATTTAACAGGCATCTTGTACATGCTTCAAAAACAAATTCTGAATTTAAAATTCATCAAATGATTTAAGATATAGTTTAAGCTTATCCTGATGAACTTGACTTGAAAGTAATATTCCAATTAGATAGAGCGCTCGCATATTTGGGGATGTTAGTCAGTGGCTTGATGAGACATATCCAAATAGGTGAATTGGTAGGCGTGGTCCTGCCGAATGGCCGCCTAGGTCTCCTGATTTAACGCTACTTGATTTTTTTTGTGAGGTCATTTAACGTCACCGCACCGAAATCAATTGATCATCTAAAACGACGTGAATGTGCGAATATTGCACAAAAAACGTTTGCAAATGTAAGAACTGAATTAAGAAACAGACTTTTTTTGTGTCAAAATGTCCAAGGGGAGCATTTCGATAAACAAAAATTTTATTTGATAATTAATTTTTTTAAACGTTTAATATCTTAGAACAGATTTTAGATTTTAGATATGCGTTGACCTTGATAGCAAAATTTTATTCTAAGAATCTTCTAAGAAGATATGACCCGGAATAATGGAATATTCTTAGAACCTGTTCTTAGGGACTTATAAAACATTCAATAGATACCCTTTTAATGATGCAATTAGATTCTTAGAAGCTTCTTAAAACCTTCCTAAAAAGCATTCTAAGAACATTTTAAGAATAAGTTTTTGTTTTTAGAAGGTTTCTTGTGGAGCTTCTAAGAAGCTTTTGAGAATATTTCCAAATATGTCAGATACCCACGTTCTAATATGTTGGATTCTACATTCGTAAAATTCTTCAGGAGGCGACAAATACGCCTCACTGTCATAATATGACAGTGAAATGTATTTGTCGTTCCCTTAAAAAATTTTGCGACATATTAATATATATTTATTTAAAAATATTAAATAAACAATTTGACCTCTAAACCATAAGTTGTATGACATTATTTCATAAAAAGTAAAATTGGAAAATTTTGTGGGATAAGTCAGATTAGATTGAAGTTGAAGATAGTTAGGATTATTATACATAAAAATGTTAATTCAGAAATAAAAAATCGGTATACAAATTAATAAATATTTATCTTTAAAATAAAATAAAAAAAATATAAAAAAACAAAATATTTCCTTATAAAATAATTCTTCATAAAAGAAAAAACCAAATAGTTTGTATTGTATTTTATTTAAGTTGGATAGAAGGTTTTATGTAAAAGCCGGATAATTTAGATACCTATAGTAAAAGTATTTTTGTTATCGAATATTGTTTTAATTTGACAAATAACTATAAAAAAATATTTTGGGTTGTGTTTTTTACTTAGTACGTAGATTATGGTATTTTTTGAAATCACAATTTAAATACGCACAAATAATATTAAAGAAATATTTTTGACAGTTCTGACATTTCTCTACCAAACATGAATTGACTAAGTCAAAGCCATCTAAATTTTAAATTATAAATAAAACTAACAATATCGCTACTTAACTGCATTAAAAAAATTATTATATCTTTTACATGGATAAAAATAACAAAACAAGACTAATTAGACTGAAAAGATGAAGGTGGGGACTACATTTCCTGAAAGTTTCAGATTTTTATTTTTTCCTCAACATAATGATTTCTGAGGGCAAAATTGGCTAATTTTGAAAATTATCAAGTTTCAATAATTTTTTTAATAAAGAAAATGATAGTCTAGAAACTTAAAATAATAGTTATTATTATTGACAGTATTTTGTTATTAAATCAACAAAATGTTTGTTATAATTACAAACTACTTATTCAATTATTTAACAGATTACAGTTGTTTGTAAACTTAACATACAGTTATGTGGATCTGGATTAACATAAAATCTGGTTAAAATTAACACATATTTTTGTACTGTTTAAAAGAAAAAACAAAATCCATAAAGAGGAAGTAGATGTAGGTACATTTCTTTCAATTTGCATTTTTATTTAGTTTCGCAATTGAGTCTATGATTCGTCGAGGCAATGGCTAGCAAAGGCTGTGACCAAATAGAGAGCAGTCAATGGCAACCGGTGCATGTAAAAAATCTCTGATGGCCTCTTGTATATCATTTATTGCTATTGCTCAACAAGGAAAACCATGGCAGAAGGTTACTGGATTTCTTGACGGCGAACAATACAGTCGGCCTGGTGGATTATCGGCCAGCTTATTACTTCAATTCATTCGAATCATTTGTTGGTCGAGTTGCTTCATGGTCAACACCAGGGCCAAAATTAATTTAAACGCGTAATTAGATTTGATCGTTATTTATCCTTTCTATCGTATTAACTATTTCAATGTTTTTAGCAGGTGCTATTTCCTATTTGCGACCACAATTGCAATTATTCAGTTTCCGGCGTAACAAGTTAGTTTTAAGTTAGTTGACAGTACAAAAGTATTAAATAGTTTCTCAACGACAATATTTAAAAAGTTTATATGAACATTGTACTGACCTTTTAATTTCGCCGGCAGTAAACTATAACTTAAATTCGGGCACGGACTCCACTGTAAAGTGCTCATAAAGCATTTTCTTTACTTTCACTGTAAAAACCTGTCAATTTTCAAGAAATACATTTCGATTTATAACCTTTATAGTCTGTGTTTATAAAATGAAAAAATTTAACATTTGACGGTGACACACAGATTGTTTCATAGATGGCGCTCTATACAAATTTTTGATTTAATCATTTTAAGATAATAATAAGTATTTATCGTAAAAAAAGTATAGTATGCACCTCGTTTATAAACTTTTCTATACACTCATTAATTTAAGCACTCGCTCGCAAGCTCGCTCGTGCCTAAATTAAATTCGTGTATAAAATGGCGTTTATCAAACTTGATACATAATATACTATTAAAAATAATTATATAATAATTATAAAAAAATCTACTTACTGAGATATTCCACTTCACGGTGGATAGGTTTTTAAATAGCAAATTAATGAGGCAGGTCAATAGATACTGCAGTCTATGATTTCTCGCAAAAAGTTCTCACAGCATTTGAAGAACATAAATATGCATTTGGCGTATTTTTAGATTTATCCAAAGCATACGATTGCTTAAACCACGAAATATTATTAAATAAGGGATCATGCACTGCAGTGGTTTAGATCCTACCTTGCAAACCGGCCGCAAAGAGTACAACTAGTCAATAAAAATGTAAAAACTTTATCGGATCATATATATTTAAAACTGGGTATACCCCAGGGCAGTGTGATAGGTCCAATTTTGTTTGTAATTTATGTAAATGACTTAAGTACCCTAATAGTACAAAAAAATCATCACATGATAAACTATGCAGACGACACAAATTTATTTCTTACATCCTCAAATTTGAATAATCTAGAAAGAGAATGTAGACTATTGTATTCAACATTCAATAACTGGTTTTTGGAAAATAGTATGTATTTGAATAAAACAAAAACAAGTTGCATTATGTTCAAAACCAAAAGATCAAACTTTATTACACCAAATAATATACAACTAAACAACTATAATACAGAATTTACAAATAATACAAAGTTTCTAGGTATAGTCATGGATGAAAATTTGTGTTGGGCGCCACACATAAATGAATTGACAAACAAACTAAATAAGGTACATTTCTCCTTAAAAATGATAAAAACTTACGTTAATGCCAAAACTTTAAGAATGGTGTATCTAGCAAATTATCAATCTATTTTAAGATTTGGTATAATATTTTGGGGCCAAAGTACGGGTATTGGTGATGTTTTTATTCATCAAAAAAGTGTGATCAGAACAATTTTGGGCTTAAATTATAAAGATTCATGTCGTGGTGTATTTAAAGCTAATAATCTGCTTACTGTGACTGGTATTTATGTTTATGAAATTTTAATCTTTATGTGGAATAATAAATCTATTTTCTGTGATGCCAAACTGCATTCTAAGAGAACAAAAGACTTAAAATATCCTGCACATCGTCTTTCTATATCTCAAAAAGGATGTTACTATTCATGTATTAATATTTTTAACAAATTGCCTGAAAGACTTAGAATTATTGCAAATGTTAATAATTTTAAAAAATAATTATTTAAATATGTATGTCAATTAGAATCATACAGTATTAATGAATTTTTTGAATCGTAAACCTCCTTCAAACATGTGATATATCTTTTAGTCAAATATTATTTATTTATATTTATTCTCTTTTAAGATATG